AAGGATTGGTGAATGGATGAATGGAAGGAAGGAAGGAAGGAAGGATCGAACGAACGAACGAACGAACGGAAGGAAGGAAGGAAGGAAGGAAGGAAGGAAGGAAGGAAGGAAGGAAGGAAGACGTGATTTCATTTGGTTGAAATAATAGTCCAGTTTTCTGTTATTAATCAGGCGATTGACTGAGCTACCGAGACGGCCCGGGGCCAACAGTTATTCGCTTTAAAATCATCTATCAAAAATTACGTTTCCATTTCCCAAACGATCTGATCTTGACTCTACTCAAATTCTAATTAAAACCCTAAGGCTAAAGACATCGCAGTTCGTTTAAACACAATTAATCAAACTCAAAAATTTCTTTTCGGATGTCTTTGACTGATTGCATTTTAGTTAATAGAGAGTTTTAGATTTACGTTCACGGCAAACGTGAAACGTCAGTTGACCAGTAAAAAAATCTTTTAAATTACTGAAAAAGAATCGCAAAAAAAGTCCAAGTAGTAGAAAAAAAAAAGAGTATTTGCGCTTGGTGAGAAGGTTTGTAAAAGGTAAAGTAAAATACAGGAAAACTATGAAAACGTGGTCACGTTTGCCGTTTGCGGGGAGAAAAAAAAGTCAATCTAAAACTCTCTAGTGTCTTTATTTTCTACGTTTGACATTTTGAAGTCATTCTCATCCTTTCCTTTTTGTCGGCAAAAAGTGGACTAAATAGTCTATTCCACACTGATACCCAAACTGACATAAACAGACATATTAGAAAGGGATGTTTTCGTTAATTCAGCCTTAACTTTTATCCCAATTATCATGCGTAGAAAAAAAGAAAAAACTCAAGGAAAGAATTCCAGTTCCTGGGGCTACTTTTAACACTACATTTAAGTCAAGGATTTACGTGAAATTTCTTCCAATTAATGCGTTAGAACACTAAAACACCCAAATTAATCAAGTGGTTTTTGTTTTACTGACAAGGTTAGCACTTAATAGTCAGTGGCGGCTAACAAAGCTATGGCCCTCATACCATGATTACATTTGGATTTGGAAGTTGATTTATTTGGAGGGAGGAAAATCTAAGAGTCGGGAGAAAAACACCCTCAACTATGCAAAGGAGAGAACCAACTAAAGACTCTACTAACGATACTTCGGGATCAAACCCGGGTTGCAGTGGTTAGAGGCGAGCGTTTTCACCGCTACCCTACCGGTGCTTTCCCAAGGCTTTAATATAAATGATGAGAGCATTTCTCTTAATGACAACGGATTCAAATTCAATTACTTCTAAGCTTCTTTGTTGGGAACACTCACGTTCGTAGTCATTAAAGAGTTTTTATTGCGTTATTGCGAAAGTTTTTCTCCCCGCGAGATATAAGTTAAAAGAATGATCAAGCAGTATTCTCACTTTTCCTAGGGTCTCGTTGAAGACAGAACAGCGACTAGCCGAACAGAAAAGAAACGGGGAATTTAAGGTAAGATTTTTACACGCATTGGTTGTGTCTGGAATGAAACAGCTATAAATTTTCCCCAATCATTGTTGTAGCTCTGATCTTCATACATTTTTTTTCTTTTCTTTAAACGTTTGTTCGGTTTCTTACGCTCTTCGCTCTTCATCAGATTCTGTACTATTTTCCCATTCCTTTCCTTTATCCCATCACATTCTTTTCCCTTGCCTTTCATTTTGTTTTTCTTCCATTTAATCCTCTCCTCCCTCCCATTTCTTTCTTTCGCCTAAACCAAAACTGCTAAATTCCAACTTGATCT